CCCCCCCCACTTCCCGGGACCCCCCCCGGCAGCCCCTGACCTCCCCAGCATGGCCCCCCCACCTTCCCAGGACACCCCCCGGCAGCCCCTGACCTCCCCAGCATGGCCCCCCACCTTCCCGGGACACCCCAGTCCTCTCCCGTTCCTGGGCATCGCAGGTGCAGCCGCACAGCGGAGCCTTGGCACCGCTCAGCTCTCCCCTTGTGTTGTAATCAGATCAGGGAAAGCAGCCTATCGAGTGTTGCAGCTTTCCATATCAAAATGATAAACCTTTGGGGTTTCTGAGCGAGGAGACAGGTGACTCTTTCAAAAAGTGTCTGAATCGTGCTTTGATGAAGGCAGGTAGTAGGTACCCAGCCACATTAACTGTGGTTTGCTGTGGGTGGAGTTGGGAACATCAGGACCAGAAGGAATGCATGAAGAATTACTGAAAGGGGATGGGAGGTGTTTATGGATCCAGAAAGTTGTAAAAAAATTGCATTCAGTGTCTATTTTAAAGAAGAAAGAAGCATTTATTAGAATTCCCTGAAATGTGACTTTTTTCTCCTGGAAGGATAAGCAGATGTTAACAAGAGAAGAGTGATTCATGTTAGTGTATCTTATAGGGAATATCAAGTTACCTCAATACATGGAATATTTTCTAAAAAGAGGCAATCAAACACAAGCATAGTTCCATCTAGCACAGCTTTGACAGAGATCTGGAGGCACACTCCCAGGCTCACCGAGCCTACACGTGCTCGGTTCTCTTCTTGCCTCCCAGCATGGATCCAGTTCCTCACCTGTGTGTCCAGGATCTTGTTTTATTTAACCACATCCTTGCTTTAAAAGGTGCTGTGCAAGGCCAGGCTGGATGAGGCTTTGGGCAACCTGGGCTGGTGGGAGGTGTCCCTGCCCGTGGCAGGGGGTGGCACTGGGTGGGTTTTAAGGTCCCTTCCCACCCAAACCATCCTGGGATTCTATGTTAAAAGCAACCTTGCCTGGAGAACCATTTCCTAAAATAACTGGAGGTTCGAGAGGAAGGTACAGAGATGAAGCTGTTGGCTTACACAGTAAAATAATGGCCAGGTTAGGAGAGAATACAAATAGCAAGATGAGGCTGCTGCTCCTGTCTCTGAGATGATTCCAGTGCTTAATTCCTGTGTAAATCAGTAGAGCGATTGTCCTTTGGCTTGACTTCCACTGGCACTTAGGGATTTCAAGTCCGCTGCCTCATGGGGTGCCGGGCGGGCTCTCGCGCCATCGGGTGCCTGCGCTGACCCTCTGCCGTGCTCTGCCCAGCGGGGACCTGCAGGTCGCCGGCAGCGCCCACTGCACCTTCAGCACCGCGCAGAAGGCCGTGGGGAAGGACAACTTCACCCTCATCCCCGAGGGCACCAACGGCATCGAGGAGCGGATGGCAGTGATCTGGGAGAAGTGTGTGGTAGGTACCAAAGTGGCACCAGCTCCTCGCAGAGCCATGGATGCCAGCGCACTGTGCTCGGTGATGTCAGTGTCCTCGTTAACCCAAACGAGCCGGGAGGTGGGACATGGTGTCTAGACTCTGACTTCAGAGGAGTTTGTTAATGAGAGACTTGGAAGGCATGTGAGTGCCACATCATTGTGTCTTCAAAGGCTTCAGGGTGGGGCTCATCCACCCCACTCTTGCTCACAGCCACATACAAAGTCTCTCCAACATAATCTTCCTAAGGGTGAGACACGATGTTCCTCTTCCCTGATTCTCACAGGAGGTCTGGGGACATGGATGGGGACAGGGCATCTTCCTTGGTGGCTGTGGCCATGGCCGTGCCTGCCCCAGGTCTCACCGGTGGGGATGTGAATGGGGACAGGATGTCTCTCCCTTGGTGGCCGTGGCTGTGCCTGCCCCAGGTCCCACCAGTGGGGACATGGATGGGGACAGGGTGTCTTTCCCTTGGTGGCCATGGCCATGCCTGCCCCAGGTCCCACCAGTGGGGACGGGTCCCATGGCACCTCCATGTCTGCCATGGGAGAGCTGCGGTACACAAGTGGCTGGCCGGTAGGACCGGGTCCCATGTCCCTGCCCTGGTGCCCCCCGCCTGTGCCAGGAGTGTCCCCTGGAGCAGATGTCTCCATGTGGGCTGCCAGGAGCTGGGGAGCCATGCCACCCTGAAGCCTCTGCCTGGGGTAGGCTTTGTTCAAGGATGACTAGAATTTATCTGAAGGTAATAAATAGAGATGGTAAGGTTCTTTAGGTTCATTTCCAGTCTTCATTGAAACATCCTTAAACCATCCTTAGAGAACGTGAGACGTCTGTAGAGGGATTGGAGCCCACCAGTGAAGGTCTTGCTTTTCAGAGCCCTGAAATTTCACAGAGCCCAGGAAAAACAAAAACCTCTGCTGGGTTATTGAGTCCACAGGGACAAGGCTCAGCCCCCGTGTGCCCCCTTTCCCCATGTCTGCAGCCCCATCGTGCTGGGGATCCTCATGCTGCACCAACACGGGGTTGGTTTCTTCTTGTTCCTGCTGGGGGGCGAGGGGCGTTCTGGCCATGGGATGGAGGGGTCCAGCCCTTCTCCTCCACAGGTCCCCGGGAAGATGGACGAGAACGACTTTGTGGCGGTGACCAGCACCAACGCTGCCAAGATCTTCAACTGCTACCCCCGCAAGGGGCGTGTGGCCGTGGGCGCGGACGCTGACCTGGTGGTGTGGAACCCCAAGGCTACCAAAACCATCTCGGCAAAAACCCACAACCTGGTAAAATAGTTGTATTTTCTTGAACTGGTTTTAGAGACAGGAGAGCAGCAATGTGTTTCTTCAGAGCAGAAAGCTCCGATGGTTCATTGGGGAGGGGCTGTGTGTGGGTAGGGTGATCCAGGACCATTTTGACCTTTGTGGGTTTTTTTTCAGCAAAATGTTTTTTATTGAAGAAAATTATCACTATGATTGAAATATTGAGGTCTTTTATTTTTTTAAAAAAAAAGAGGAACATGTTGTTATTTCTTGGTCCAGAAAAATCCACTTGTGCTTTTTTTTACAATGCTACATTTTTTTCCACCATAAAGTTTATATTTTTGGTAGTTTGTCAGTGACAGTAATGGAGCATTGGGAGAACGCAGCACGACTTTGCATTTCCTATGAAATTACATTTCCCCTGGCTCTGCAGCCCCATTTGGGTGGAAGCCTTGTGGTGATGTGGGAGAAATGACGAGAACTCTGTCCCCAGAGGGAGAACACAAGCAGGGCTCTTGGGGGCTCAGAGAGAATTAACGGCTGGTGTTCAGGGAAAGTCGAGTTTCTCCAGAGTGGTGCTTGGCTGTGGCTCCTGGACGAGTCCAGGGTGTGTTGAGGATTGAGTTCCTCCAGCCCTGTGTGCTTCAGTTCCATCACTCTTATGATTTGAAGGGTGATGGGTCAGTTACAGCTGATGGGCACGAGGAGCAGTGTTGAAACATGGGGCAGGGGTATGGCTGTATTGTCACCTTCTCCAGGTTTAAACACGTGGAACATCTGGGTTTGTTGTTCGCAGACTGTGGAGTACAACATCTTTGAAGGCACTGAGTGCCACGGGGTTCCCACCGTGGTCATCAGTCAAGGCAGAGTGGTTCTGGAGGATGGAAACCTGGCTGTCACCCCGGGCTCAGGCCGCTTCGTTCCCAGGAAGACGTTCCCTGACTTTGTTTATAAAAGGATAAAGGCCAGAAACAGGGCAAGGAGGAGTTTGTTTGTGATAATCCCGTATTTTCCTTGCCCTCTCTCTGTGTTACTGCATTTCAGTCACCGGTACAATGAGCTTCTGATGGACCGGGCACCAGAAACAGGAATATTATTAATGGGATTTCTTCTGTGGCCTTGGGAATTTGTCATGTTGTCATGTCACTGCTTTGATGGGTGGCTTGGCACATTAATCAATAATGTCTATTTTAATATTGTAACTAATAGCACTAGTATCCTTAATACTAGTATTAGTGTTAATATTATTTGCCTCATAAGTCATAAAGCAAAAAAAAGATGACTTCTAGCAACTCTGCTTTTGTTTGTTTTGCATTGAGATAGAAAGGAGGAATTCCTCCCCTGCCTGTATTAGAAAATTTATGTGCCTGTACCCCCAGTACCAACTTTGCAGCTGCCAAAGGCTGATGGCTGTGCCATTCAGGTTACTGGAAATACAGTGATGCCCTTTCCCTCTGCTTTCATTATGCATTGCAGATGAAGGCAGAGCGGAAATCATTAACCCCACATTGCCCACAGAGACCCCAGCAGTGCTGGCAGCTGCAGCAGGAACCCCCAGCTCCAGGGTGCCCAGGGGGGTCTGGGGGTGTCCCCAGAGCCAGGGCAGGATGGGGATGGATGGGACCCTGGGGGACAACAGGTCCTACCCATAGGTTGAGCCTGGTTCTTGTTCACTTTGGCTTAAATAACGTTCCTCCCCCTCTGCTTGCTCCCCCGTTGCAGCTGGCCGAGGTCCATGGCGTGCCCCGCGGGCTGTACGACGGACCGGTCCACGAGGTCCTGGCGAGTGCCAAAGCCGTGGCCCCCACCCCGGC